GTGACAGATACGAGTTGGAAGTGGAAAACTTGGAGGGGACCATCTCTGAACTCCTTGGAACTCCTTTCCACCTTAAGATCAACGCGAATGAAGTCTGGGCTTACAATCCCCCCAATTCCAACTACTCTGTTGGTCGAGTTCTTAAGGCGTATGTCCGGGAACTTCATTCCTTGATACCTCGAGGCTCACTATTCCAACAGCTACGTCGAGGGTTTCATTGACGCACTCAAATGGTATCTTGACAAGTTCGGTGATGAGGGAAAGATTCACTTCAACGAGGCAGTCACCCAATCTGAGCTCTCCCTCAATGCCAACGAACTTGGTGACAAAGTAAATGACCATTACGGTCAGTGTGTAGAGCAGACATCCTCATCGACCCACTCTGCAGGCTGAGACCATCTCCGCCGATATCAAGGACGGTGTCTTCCGCATCCTTTTCAACCATACCAAGCTCGGTTATAACCAGGATCAACTCCGCGAGCACCTCTTGAAGGCCGTCGAGAATGTTCCTCGTGCCGGGTTTTCGATCGTTGCCAAAAATTCTATTGAGAAGTACTTTAACTCTGAGGTTGAGGACCTTACTACTGCGATCGGCGAAATCCTTGCCCTTCCCGACGTTGTTCTTGATCCCAACTTTGAGGCCAACTACGAAGCCCTCAGCGCTCACAACAAGACAGATACGGATTGGCATCGAAACTTTGGAAAGGCGACGTTATCTTATTTCAGGTTAGTTTCTTGCTACAACTGATCGTTAGGCAGTTATTCAGCATTCCTTTTTTTCACAGCGATGGCTTGAAATATCAATTGGAACGCCAAGGCTTCAAAGGCGATGAAATGCTCCAGGAAGGCCTCAAAGAGCTCCTTACCACCAAGACCTTCCAGGTACGCGTTGTCAACAAAACTAAGAATAACGCCACCATCGAAACTGTTCTCGAGAACGGTACTGTTTGTATCCAGGTATGTGGATGCTTTCATCAACTGGTTATTGTCTGAACATTGTTTTTAGATGACCGCTGAAAAGTGGTGGTACAATTCCTCCGACGCCGGTTCTGGCCTGATTGATCTGCTTTAAGAATTCTTTTCCTTTTCCTCATCCAGTAAATTGATATACCGATTATATGTCACATTAAGCTTTGGTCTGGATATAACTGTTTCTAGAGCTGTCAATACTTGAAGGGAGAAAAATGGCTAAAGACGGCGCAGATCCAATCACGAGAAATAAACTCTTGAGCAGGTTCAAGAATGGATCTCCGAAAGGGTACCATCGTCCAGACCCATACGAGTTTGAGCCTGATATAAATGACGTAGCGATTCAAACCTGTTTTGACGCTCAAGAAAACGTGAATGGTCGCCAGGCGCGCTGTCCCGGGCGGAGCTCACATAACGTATCGCAACGATCAAGTCGTCTAGTCTGAACAGATGTACTGGTGGAACCGAAGCGTATCAAAACCCCATCCCTGGTAAACGTGCCAAATGGATATCCGCCGAACCATCATTGATGTCGAGGGGTTGAACAATGAAGCTTTCGGTTCCATTCTCCCAGAAACCATCCAAAATATACGGAGGTTGATCGACAGGGGCCTTAGAGGAACCAGAAAACATTCAAGACATACGGAGGTTGATCGACAGGTGCTTTCGAGGAACCAGAAAGGTTAACACCACGCAGGAGCAATGTGCGACCCGCAGTGTCTACAAAGTTGCCATGACGTTGTGTGAGTGAAAGAGGAAGGGGTAGATTTTCCCGTTGCAGGCAACACAGAGGGTACTTTGGGCATCGTGGTGAGCGATGAGCCCTTCTAGAAGTTGAGAGGACACTATAAAAGCAACCCGAGTGGAGTTACGATTCCAAAATATTGTTCCTGGCAAAGTCACGCGCCGACCGATCTCCTGATCCGAGTCGGCCACGGCTCTGACGTAATAAAATAGTCCCTTCACTTCGAATACAGCAATGCAGGATAGGAAATGGCTCTTTTACACGTTCCTCGGACTGATGGCGGATGCTCTCGACGTTGTCCTGACATTGGTGGCACCACACCATAGACCACAGATGAGCATCGCTGTGAGTACATCCCATTCTATCTGCCCAAACTCTTGCGAGCAGCTCATACGTGCCTCCAGCCGTCGGATGTCGATCAGCTTAGTGACGAGGCGATTCTTGAGCTTGTAAAGATCGCTCCAAAAGTCGCCCCTACATACTTCGTTTCCGAACTGACACCAAACACCGTGGCCAAGAAGTGCCAAGGCATGCACCCTTGGCAATGCCGATGCAACGGAAGCAAATGCACTTGACCTTCTGTTTGCAGAAACAACGATCCCCGTCCCGCGTGTCCGTCGCGTTATGGACTCCTGGATTGTCATGGATTACAGGCTTAACCCTTGCTCAAGTCTGGCCAGCTCTTTCGATCTGGAGAAAAATCAGATTGCTTTCACATTACGTCACTATATTCGTCAGCTACATCGCTTGAAAGCATCGGCGACAACTCCACCCGGTCCACTCAGCACACGAGGACCACAGTTTTGCGAGTCGCCTGCATTTGGCGGAAGGCACTCATGTCGCGGTCCATTTGCCTCGTATTCTGAGCTGTCTGAGTTCTTCAACAAACAGCACCAGAGGTCAGCAAATATCAGGAAAATATCCCCAGAGGACCCGAAAAGAAACAAGAGTTTTGACGATTCTGAACCGCTCGTCTTGACGCATCAGGATCTCAACCTCCGAAACATTATGTTAGGTGAAGATGGTCGTCTTTGGATGATTGACTGGGGATGGGCAGGATATTATCCTGTCTGGTTTGAATATATGACGGATGCAGCTACAGAATAGGTATGAACACGTCAGTGGGACAAATGACAAGTTTTGGAGGGCATTGATCCCTTTTATTTGTGGACCATACTTCAAGCAGGAAAGGGGTGGAAATGGATGTCACCAAGTTTGTACTGTCGCTAGGTGGTCAGTAAGTGAGCTTATGGTCTCCAGTATGAGCGCGAATAGCTGAACCACAGCTTCCAAGCTCCTGGTTTACCCTTTGACAGTAGTCTGTACATGTACTTATGTAGGGCAAGCTTATTATTGTGATATTTCTCCCAATGAGGTAAGATTTTGCTAGATCAAAACTATATTGGGGAAATGCTGGATGACGCAAAGACAATTTCCAGTGCCAGCTTTCTATATAAGAAAGCAAGATCAAGATTCAAACTCATTGCTGACTGCTTGTACCATTCATAATATCATACCCTTCCAAGAACCGAATGATAGTCTGGAAGAGCCCAGTGATTGGATGAATGCTCCACGGCAGACCTTGCAAAATCAGTGCAGTCTTCAACGATTCCAGCAACCTGGGATAGTTTCAGAACATTGTCAAGACTTTCCAAAAATCCAAAACGATAGTATAGATAGTAGTATGCCTCCGCTAGAGCTCTCTGATCGTAGGAGTATTCTAGATGTGTGGGAAGTGTCACGCTAATGGCAATTTCTCAGCAATCCAAAAGCTTTTAGAGGTCATTCAGCCTATCAAGTTGTTCATTTCGGCTACGATAGAAGTTGCTCAGTCGCGTTTGAACGACAGTGTGAGCATCACGACGTGGGGATGCACGTTTCAAGGCAGAATTCAATCAAAGCCTCGAGAGACGGAATATCGTCAAAGCGGCCGAAACGATAATGTCAGGCCTCGGAAAGCTCAAGCTGCCATCGTGCCCTTGCTGAGAACACAGCCATACTTAGACTGGAATAGTAAGACGCCTCTCATCTAGCTAGTCCAGCCAGCTATTCATACAAAGTACCGGCGTGCCAGCACTAGATTTGAAATGATTAGCGACCGAACCTAACAATGAAGTGATGGCGGCCTGATCGACGAGGATGATCGATCAATCCCATCAAATGATTCACACTCTCCGCTGGCAACCATCTCATTTTCAGAGTTCCGTTCATGGCTATAGGGAATGACTCTTTCCCCACAATAACAATTGATCTGGTGCATAATCTTGGAATGAATCAAGACTCTGCCTAACTGTGACCATGCGTATCCTAGGTTTTGGACCGATTCACGATGAAAGATGTCCTAAGAGGCATGCTGCACTGCGTCTTGTTTCATCGTCTATTTGGGACAGTCAAACCGCAAACCTTCGAGGTTTTGGACGTGACCATGGTACGCTTCAGTCTGAGTCCTGCAAAAAGTACGAGCTAATGGAGTCTCAGCCTGGCATTTCGGATGCAGGAATGGAACAGCTTGTGAACGATAAAGTCGATGCGTTCTGGAGGGGAATCGAAGGAGGTACGAGTAGGCGTGGCCAGGTATCATTACCACCTAGCTCAACCCTGTGTTACACTCACGGTTCCTAGATAAAAGTTACATTTTCAGAGAAGCGTCCGAAGAAATCTTGGTTCCAAGTATACCTGGGGGAAGAGGATGTGCCTTGGGAAGAGTGGTGCGTGCTTCGCAAGGGAACCCTAGACATACACCTCTCACTTCTATGCCTAGGATCATCAACGCTGAACTGCGGCAGCCCATAGCAGGTGAGGATGTCATGAGCTCAATTCCAGAACGTCACGCTTTATCACGTTAATTTTAGATCGGGAAGCCTTCAATGCAAAACTTGCAGATACGCTATCGCAAGCTGTATGCATGATGCTCACCCACACCTCTTCGGAGCAAGGGCGTGCCGCTGTACCTCTAATCACGAACGCTTCAGGCATTTCGCCATTCCCCATTGAGATATCTGTTACGGTTGGCGGAATGGAAATGGGATGACACAGTCGATAATTATTCCAGTGTTTTATGGACTATGCTGATTGTATTGGGAATGTCCACACCGGCGAAGGTAACTTACAATACAGTCAAATGATTAAATCGTGCTTTGGATAGTCATTCCATTACACCCCTGCGTACAACGGACCATTCCTGAAACTGCGGATTTCTTGCACCATAGATACGTAATTTTCGTCATGAAACATGCGAGCGAATCAAAAGTTCTGGTTCAAAATCATTACTAAAAGAGCAAATTTATGACCGAGACAGGGGTCGAACCTGCAATCTCCTGATGTAAATCCAGTAGATTTCGTAGTCAGACGCGATGCCATTTCGCCACACGGCCATTGAACAACAATGACGAATATATTCTGGGTAGGCTCAATAACAATACAGGACCCGAAAAGCGAGATTATAGTAACAAAAATTTGTAAATCAACTTCGCTCGAATGACTCGCCAAGTCCTTAAGGAGGCGTAGCTCACAATATTGTTTCTTCGTCATGGTCCGCATTCCTGGTTTCGTCTTCGTCACGGGTGGCAAACCCATCCTCAATTCCTTCAACATCGAATGACGTATACGAGACGTCACCATATCAACCATATGCCCGTTCGACACATCACACTCTGGCAGAACAAGCTTACGAAGGTTCGGCATGCAATGCGTCTCAGACGTAACCGTCAAAGCGTGCATGATGTGGTTACCGACAGGGCCCACGTAGAGTTGAAGATCACGCAGCTCGGTGAGAGGGATAGATACGAGTTCGAGGGTTTCAGCTTTTGTCATTTGGGGATCGAAGAGGGATATGGAGGTGAGAGGTAACTGAGATCGTTGAAAGGAGGGAGATATTGCCGTCCGTTGAGGGATGTGAGGAACCATTGGCACAGTGAATGATCTCGGGTGAGCTTAGGCTCAGTACAGTGAGATGGTCTAGGAGGGGAGTAGCATCGCGTCCGTGAGCTTCGACCTTGAGATGACGAAGTCGGGGAAGTTCAATGGGGCCACTTATGACGATATTTATACTGTCGCACCCCGCTTTCACCAGCCTGTTAACGTTTCTATAGACAATATCCCTCTCGCGGAGTGCTCTTAGGCCACATAGACCATCGGCCTGCTGTTCAGCGTTGTGATTATCCTCGGATAAAATGGCAAGGGCATCCTCGGGTGGCAAAGTTATGGCGATGTCCAAGTCGAATAGATAAGAGCGATCTTGAAACTGGCCCAGAATGACATTCGCAGCAGGAACATTGCCGGTGGCGGTGACCAACGGGAGCTTGAGATGGATAAGCAGCTCTCATTGGTATTAAAAAAGGGAGGGATCGTTTCCCAACAAAAATGAGTCGCCAGGAGACCTTTCGGACTCTGGGTTCGCGTTGACATATTGAACGCCAGATAGGGGCCGCATTGCTAGTTCCTCCGAAGTCAAGTTCCACCGACTGTAAGTAGGGCGCATCGAAAGTATGTACGGAAATGGGAAAGTCACCGGTGAGCTTGATAGTCAGATGTTTCATTCGCCCTGCATTGAAGGGACTCATGAAAAGTGCCAGAATCGAGTAGATAGCTGGTTGATCACATCCTTCATCACCAGAGGGAGCATAAAGGTATAGAGAAATAAGGGGATTCCTTGTCATTTCAGAAGGCTCCTTCGGGACAGAACGATTCAGCCAAGAGATGATCATGGAAACCTGTTTACTCCTGGGCTTGTAGACGGCAAGTGATGTCCAAAGTGATGGCGTATCATAAAAGCTCTTCCATCGTTTGCACACAGATAAGAGGGTTATCGGGCTGGCAGTGAAAGACAAATTCGCGGACAGAGTGGGCTTGCGATTGATATAGTGAGGCTTGTAGTCACCCTCTCCGTCATCGTTCAAGTAACGTTCAAAGACTTCGAGCAACAGATGGTCTGGCAAGTTTTGAATAAAGCACGTCTGTTCCGGAGGAGACGTCTTAGCGATTATTCGTGGAGGTTGGCATTCGAGGACTTCGGGGAATAACTGTTGTACGGGAGGAGGTTTTTGACCAAAGTTCTCGAGTACTCGTTCCCAGACGTATATCGGGTTGATCGGTGCTGCTAAGGACGTCGGTAGCAATACACCTTTTTCAATAGCCTGCTGAAAAACTGAGGTCGCAAAGGCTTGCGCTAAAGTGGTACTTGATTTTCGATGAGTGATTGTCAAGGACATTAGGTACCACTTGGCTGCAGTTATATATTTTTTGTGGACAAGATATCTGGAATCCAAAGCACACAAAAAGTTGCTTCGCGACGGAATGCTTATTGAAGGCATGCGTGTAATTGTCTACCGCTGAGCGCTGAAGCGCTGAAGAAACAAGAAACTTGCCACGTGACATTTTTGATCAATGACGTGGGGGATGTCATTGTGAAGGAATAACTAGCTATATACGTGCCAACGTTTTGACGTTAACGTTCATAACTCATCCGCAAAATGTCTGTGGACTCGGAAGATGTCTGTATAAACATTTCAAATGACCCTGACCTCTACTTCCCTGACGGAAACCTTGTAATTCTTACCCGGGACCATGCAGGAAACCATACGTACTTTCGGGTCCACCAGTCTATCCTTTCGAAACACTCAAAAGCACTGAGTGACCACATCTTTCCGGACCCATCATCTTCGGAACGAGAAATATATGATGGTGTCCCGCTTGTTGAATTCCAGGAAGATCCCCGGGACTTGAACATATTCCTAAAATTCCTCTACGAGCCATTGTAAGTGCCCATTCACTCAGACAAGTTGACAGACTCTATCTCTGAAACCAAACTGACCAGTTATGCTTTTAGTGCAGCTCCGATACAAAGAGGAGACCCCGACATAGCATTTAAGATGTACGGGGCATTGAGGCTTGCTGACCGGTTCTCTATTGACCCTCTGAAGGAGACTATTCTTTCCTACATCCGTGAGGACTGGCCCCAGACATTGCAAGCCTGGGATGAACGCGAGGCCTTTTACTCACGTCGTCTGAAAAGCTCCCCCGGGTCAACCATGGACGACGTCGCCCCAGAGCCCGCCTCTGTCATCCGACTTGCACGGAAGTTCCAACCCCAGATTTTGACACTGGTCTTCTATCACCTTTCACGTCTCCCGGTCAATGCAACCTATGGCCAACACAATCAAGCTCCGCGCCATGCAAGGGGCATACGTGGATACCTGCTATCCCCAGCGGACCGCGAAAGAGTGGCATTAGGTCGCGAACGGATGTTGCGGTGGATCTCCGATCGCTTGGAGTCGTTGGCTCTTGACACGTGGCAGTGTAGAGCAGAGGGAGGATGCCAGCCGCATATCTACTGGCGCGTCGTCGTCCTGCATCGATCTATAATGCGTAGCATGGATGTCCTTACTACGCTGCGGACGATGCGAAGCCATAAGCAGGAGAGAGGGACGAGCGATGTAGTGGAGGATGCGGTGTGCCAGCACTGCAATGCGAGATGGGACACGATACTCAACGAGACGCGTCGCGACTTTTTCGACTCTCTACCCTCTTTCTTCCCTGACTTGTAATTTGACATTGGATCTAATCGGGTTGCTTCACAACAAAAAACACCAATCTTTCTGGGATTGTTCGTGGTGTCGGTGACTTCGAAACACCGATTGTCGTTGTGTTTTAGCAGATGCACTTCCCTTAACAAATCTCGTAATTTCCATGCGCCGCTGTCGTACGCCGTGCCTTTGACTTGAATACATATCAACAAGAACTCGCCGAGCCTCGCCACTTACTTACTTTTAGGAGAGATGGTGCCAGTATCCCCCTTCCACTCTCAATTCTGCTAATTTTGATAAATAGCCATTCACTTTCCGTCACAGGGGTATTGTGCATTAGAGAAAGAGAGCTTGTGCTTCCAAGTCGACCTCATTGTGAGGTTTGGGATTTTCGTTACCATCATGATCGCCTAAATCTAAAATTAGAATCAGCACTGGTTGCTTGCCCCTATCTCCGTCTTTCTGCCACATGCACGGTGACTGCGGCATGCCTGTCGCGCAGTCGTCTCAACGGCGTTCGATGTCATGAGTTCTCGTTTTACTAACGGTACAACAGTGCCATGAGGACCAACTAAACCAGGTTTTTGACCAACATTGGGAATGAAATATAATAAGGTATCCGATCCATGGCCTATTATATATCACCCAACTTTACTAGGTAAATGTGGTAATGCCCTGTCCGAATGGAAGGAGCATCGCCTCCCGAGTCCCGACGATAGCGCTGTTTCCTGTCAAGATCTGTCTGCTGTGCAATTACCGGATTATTTATTCCCGAGAGTTCTCACCCTGGATCGTTCTCAATCCTTGCAGTCCCTACATTGCCGCGCTCATCATGTCCACTGAGAAGGTCAACTACGCCAAGATACTTGGTGTAGAATCTGTGGCTGCAGCCATCGTCTTTGCGCTAGCATACCTCCCTCTTTTCGTGTGGTTTGTACGCCAGTCGTTCGGACGGCCAACTTATGTGTTCGTTGTCTTGTCGTTCTTCTGCTCCAGTAAGGCAACAAGATCTCCCATGTTTATTCCGAGGCTGACCTGGGCATATCTAGTTCGTATCGCTGCTTTTACGATCCGTGCCGTCCTAGCAGGGTCAGAATCCGCGGGAGAAAACCTTGGCCTCTTTATTGCCGATTCAGTGCTATTCGGTGTCGGATTTTTCGCTCTCTTGTATTCAGCTTACACTCTCGTGCTTGACCGGTGCGTACTACCGATCCAATACTAGTACGGTTCACCCGATATAGCTTACAGCTGATTTGCCCTTTAGGTGGCTACTACTGGATGCACCGCCTGAGCAGGGCGTTCTACGCATGACTCGAGATCGTAGGTTATTTAGGGTAGTCATGCTAGTGGCGGTCATTCTTGGCATCGTCGGTTCTTCTGCAGCGACAAGTAGCGACCCTCAGAATGGCAACGTCTATAGAACGGCCAGCACCGTCATCTTTCTTGCTCTCACTGCTGTGCTGGCAGTCCATACAATACGATTGACTCTCATTGAAGGTAAATAGACATCAGTAATTCCTATTTTAGAACTAGCCACTAACTTTCACCGAAGGCAGCGTTGGGTTTAGAACTCCAGGAAACGGAACTCTGGGAGGCGAACACGGTGCATACATTTTGTGCCTTATTGCAGCATTGCTCCTTGTACGTGAAGCATTTGCCACAGCTACCGTTGGCAACGTCTCAAAACAGAACGATGAGCACCTGTGGTACCCCTTATTCGCCCTACCAGAGATACTTGCCGTCATGTTCTATGCTATACCTGGCCTCGTTCCGCCTCGTTCCGAGCTACCAAGATGACCTGAAAATCTATCAAGGATTCTACAGCTACTATGTACATCATCTCGTTTAAT